ATATCTTGATAATGAACTGCAAAATCATCTAAAAAATATCTTACAACACTAACTCGAATTATTTTTTTTATTATTATTTTTTTCCCAGTATATAAAGTACAGCACAAATATCGAGTGTATTTATGACCTTGCCTGAAGATAGTATTGAAAGTGCGTGTATATTTTTTTGATTTTACGTGATTTTAAATAAAATAAGTAATATAAAGTATATTTTTTCGAACAGGAAATATATATTACTGTACAATTTGTATATATATTATGCATATAAACTACGCTACTGGCTTATATGCTGAATTAAGCTGAATATGGAGAATTTCTTGCTATAAAACTTTATTAAAACACTTTAAAATTAACGTTACAAAATAAATAATATCATTAGCATAAAGTTTCGTAACAATGCCCATGATTTATTAGTAGAAAAGACAGTTAAATGTGGCATTTTATGTCCATTAGACTGGTATAATCAACCGTAGACGTCACTCGGTGACTGGATAATAGTAATTATTATAAAGAAAAAAAAATATATATATATAATGTCTATTACTATTTTATAAATAATTTTCTTCGTTTTAACTGTAATTATGTAACCGTTGACTTGTTTGTAATATTTCTATTTCACAATCTCGTGTTAATTTAATTTCTGATGTTGCAATATCTACTACAACTGCAAGTTGTTGATGACGAAGATTGTTTATTGTTCTTGATTGATAATAATTGTCGAATGGGTTTAAATTAGAAAATTCAAAAATAAAAAAATCAAATGCTCTAAAGGATTCCCTTGAAGCTATGACGTGATGCATATATTTTTGTATGAGAGAGAGAGAGAGGTGTACGGGGTGAGTGATGCAGTGGACTGGTTCATTCTGGAAAATATTAAATGTGACACAGTTCAAGGCTATCGAATCGCTCTCAATGTACGTTAATTTGTGATTAAATGTGATTCAACGATACTATAGGGTTGCAGTAAAGTATGTTTTATGTTAGATCCCATAGAGCATTTAACAAAATCTAATCAGCAGATGGATTAGGCTCCCCCTCTTCTCTATACATTTGTGGTGAGCTGCTTGTAGATATTGATTGCCCTAACCACAAAAGATATTTTACTAGCCTATACATGTTGGGCCTTAGAAATGACAGAAGAGTTTCGCCATTAATGTAATCAATTATAAATGTAAAATTTATAACGAATTATCGATTATTGTCGATCAAATTTTATAATGATATTCTAATATTCTTTATGGATAAAAAAAAAAAAAAAGTTTTACGGCTATTCGCATGATCAATGACATTCCAGTTACCCGCTGGTTAATGATTGGACTCACTTACTTTACTTCCATTTTCAGATTGATCGATGGAAGCTACCGGTACTGTAATATTATAGATTATGACTTATAACTTTTTACTAAGAATACATTTACGATGATAAACCTACGCGTTTTACTAAGAGCCATATCAAACTTCTATTTTAAACGAATACATATTATGCTTTCAGGCTAAAAAAAGACTGGTTTTTTTCCATAAAGGACTCTATAAATAATTATATAACGCGAAGAGAGAAGTTTATAATTTCAAATATTTATGTTAAACTTTGCGAAGAACTAAGGAAATTTGATTATCCCGCAATCCATATGGTCTCATTGGCGAATGCAAGATGATGTGTGAAACAATCAATACCACATTCCTGTAGCTAAACTCAATCAAACTGTCCAACACTCAACTGGGAGTATCCTTGCTGACTCGATACTGTCGATCCGCCCAGTCACGTTATTCGCTTAATTTATTATTGAAAACTTATTTTTTTAAGTGTACAGAATATCTTTTTAATGATCGCCAGGCAACTGTATTGAAATTAAGTAAGCTACCTTGCTGAACGGAACGGAAAAACGTCAAACAAGTAGACTGTACTTCAAACAATAGCAAAGTTTGCTAATAATATAGTGGCAGAAAATATCATTGTATTAACTTAATACTAAACTGAGTAACCGAATACGTGATAAATAGATTTAAATCGATTATTTGGAACGGTAGATACAAAACGCCAGCGGTTTCTCTAAGCTAAAGTCATGAGGGAAAGTAGGGGGTATGATCAATACTTGTCCACACCTTTCTGGCGACTTTCTAGTACACCTTTGTGTAGTTTCGTGGACAATATTTCCACGAAATTTAAGGATTTTTTTTCGAAAATTTTATACGTAAAATTTCGTAGTGTTAATTACTAATTATAATTTCAATTAAATATTAAAATTATGCTTTATACATTATCTTGAGAGAGATAAATCAAACTTGAATACTTTGTTGTTAAATACGTGTGGAAAGATCAATACAATTCTCATATGGCTTTCCTTTACTTGTTGTTAGTACTCGGTGTTCTGCTGCTTTGGTAATAAATTTATGAACATTGTATAAAATATAATACAATAAAACTCTAGATAAACCTTTTACTGATACTATACAATAAATTTATGCGCTATTAATCACACTCTATAAATCGAGTCGATAGCAGTTTAGATTTTAAAAGTCGGTATTATCGTTTATTTTTACTGTCTTTGATAAAAACGAACGTCTTAAAAAACACGTAAATGAATTTTTTTATTAAGAAATATAGTCCTGTTTTTATTCTCGTGAACATAATCTGAACTGTGTCAAAGGATACTGCAACATGTTGACTACAAAAGTAACGATTGGTTTGTAAGAGATTACTCAATAAATTATTTATGGGGACCATTCTATAAGACTTGGGTTATTGTTATTGCTGTTAACTTTCTTACACGAATATATTGATCACAAATCAAAAATGGAAGATACGATTTTGATTTTAGAGAAGCAATAACAAGAGTACTCCAATGTGTCTGCTCACAACCAAGGCCTGATTTACACGAGTTAAACAAACTGCATTTTAGGGTCTCGTGTTATGAGTCTGTAATTTTTGCATGTATCATTACTTGGTGCAGAGTAAAGGCCTGTTATTTGTTTTATCTTAGGACCAGAAGCTTAAGTCAGTTCTGCTCTTAGTAATGATGCTGTAGAGAATATTTTCATTGTATTATTTGGCTTCTTTATCTAAATTAATTTTGAAAATAAAATGAGTAATTGCTACACGATATCATATAGTGACCACGATATAAATTTTATCAAACGTGCTGAAACATATACCTTAAGAATTTAGAAACTCTTCATGCTTCATATATATTCAAAATATTAAATTTTAAATTACTGAATATACAGTCAAACCTCTAAACAACGGACACTGACGAAGCACACAAAAGATGGCCTTTGTTTGGAATGATTTCATATGAGATTTTGTTAAAAAGAAATAAAAATTCCTGAATAAAGATGGCCGCTGTATAAAAGCGGCCATTAATGGTTACTCGGTTGGAACCAATTTCATTATTAAAATGTTTGCTTATTCTTCTGGGCATGTTAATAGTTATGTAAAATTCTGCATATATTATTTCAAAAAATGATTTAAAATTCGAAGCATCAGAACAATTGCGAGTCTCGAAATTCAAAGATTCAGTACTTTGTTCTTAGATTTTCAAGTTCGTTATTACTTATAAAAAGTAATTATTCATAGTTTTATAGTTTAATAGTTTTCAAATCTAGGTGAATCATTAAAATTTACTGTATATAACTGTTTGATTTATAAAACAATTTTCATGAACAAGACGTTATCGCACGATAACCTGCACCTGGAAGCCATTATTGTTGACAATATTTCTCTTTTTTCTATCAAAGAAATTTTATTATAATTGCTAGAAAACGATTTCATTAACTTCAATCTATCTGGCATATAAGAAATTACTGAAATATTTACTAAAATTTCAATAGAATGATTGTTGCAACCATAGATCTATTCAAAATTAAACTAAAGAATGTTTTGGCGCTCTTGATTTTGATTTTATTCGAAAAATATCATAGAAAATTTCAAAATAATAATGTTTTTTAACGGTGGATTTGCTCCTCCATTGAACTAGGCATTCCCTCTTCCCTGGAATCGAGTTAAAAATTCAGAACAAATTAACGAATTATAATCATAAAAGCGATTGAGATATGTAACTTTACACCCTCGACTATGGAAGCTTTGTCTTTTGTATTATACAATACCTGTATTCTGTAATCTATTTGTAGAAAAATCTGAAAACTTAAATAATTAAATAAAAATTTATTGATGTAATTATTTGTCTCCGAGCTTTCCTCTTTTCTGTGGCCGCCTATACTTACACAATATATATTTAGTTTGTCTTCGTGTCCATCTTCACCATCTTCTCTTTAATTCCAAAATCATTGACTAAAACATCGATGGATCTTCACAAATTCATGACGAATATCTACTCTTTAAATTGCTGTATCGCAGAATATTTGCAACATTCTTTTCTGATAAGATACACAGTTGTGCGAATATTGATATTCACAATATACTATGATAACCTACTGTGTGATATTTTTGATAGCGGTCTTCATTAAAAACAGAATAATCTCTACGCAGTACTCTGTTATACTATAAATTTCGGTAATAAATGCTAGAAAATGGGGAGAAAAATTTGATTTTTTGCGAATTTCCAACTTCTTAGAAGAATTTATCGTATTTTATTCCCTCGATGGCGGCTTAGTATCGTATCGGATAACATTTGAAATTTAATAATTTGATGTATCATTTACCGAAAGCTTAGCCAATTCGATTTCAAACACAAATTAATTCTCATTAATAAACACAAGCTAGCTTAACCTTATACATATGACCCAAAAAAATGCATTCAAATATGTCGCATTCCCGTTTCAAATACCTAAACTCATTCATTTTCTATATTTAATTCTTTCATCTTATCTATACATATACTTTTATAAATAAAAATAAAATAATTCGATTGCGATACATAAACCAAAGAAAAAAAAAAAAAAACAAAAATATCGATTGAAAATTTTCCTTCCGAAGCTTCCCAACATAGCGCCATTGTTGCTATACGCCACCTTCTATTATTACGACACATCCAACAGGTGGCGCAGATAATTTTTCGGAAACAGAAATGGCAACACTGTCGTTCAATTAGTCAAGGAAACAGCGGATTTGTTTTGTTTATGATGCAAAACTACGAAATTTTAAAATGTTGAGAAGTTTACTTATGGGAAATGTTTCTACGCTTGATTTCGAAGATGAGAAGCTGTTTAACATTAAAAAAGAACCGGATTGGGAAGATATGAAGATTAAACAGGAGTTAGATTTCGAGATTGACAACATCAATGAACATGGAGAATTCAATATTGTTAAAGACGAACAAGATTTACAGGTGAGACCATTGTGACGTAATTTAAAATATTTTAAACCGTTTAAAAGCACGTTGCAGCCATTTTTACCGCGAAAAGTACTCGAAAATTTCCTTGTATCAACATCAATGGCGTATTTACTTAAAGAAATTAGAATATGGCACAGTTAACATTTCTCGTAATAATTCACTCATTTAAACTTAAATTCTTCTTCACATAACAATCTAATTTATCACATTTAAAAAATAAAAATAAAAATTCAAACTATATATAAAAAAAAAAAAAATCCTACATTCAAATCAATAATGTTAATTATCTGATTTATTGTTGATTCTAATGTTTCAGCGGTGCAGAAAATGTAGGGCTTATCACACAGGGATTTGACAGGGAAACGGTGCGCTTAAGAGCATTGGCTTACCTGCCCTAATTTAAGCATACCGAATCTTGTTATTCCGAGCGCCTCGTAGGTAAAAATATCATCGATGAGATCAGGAGTATAATTAACTAATTCTTTTGTCGTGAGATAAAAATTAAATATGAGATTCTTTTCGTTACCTGTACTTTGTTGTTGTGCGTAATTAGCTGTTTGATTAAAAATATATTTTTAATTAATTAATTAATTAATTTTTTTATATAGAAAATATTAGTGTATTTCCTATAATGTAACAGTGAAAACATCAGTGTTTTAATAGGGTTTTTTTTTTAAATTATTTTTTTCAAATTTGTAACAAAGAAAAGGTCTCAGAATGCTGCATTGAATCAAAATGCTTAGTTTTCAAGGTCATCCTTTATAGGCTTTAATTCAAAGTTATTTATTTGATACTTTTATTTTACTCAAATTCAAATCATAATTAAATTTTAATTATAAGAATTTATAACTAAATGATAAAGAAATTTTTCATTTTACGACATTTAAAATATATTTGCGTAGACCTTTGTGCTTATCGAATTTTCCCATTACTTTTATCGTGTGCTTCATTGTGCGATAATAGTACAAATATTTTTGTTAAATAAGATAATTTTATTAATTGTGCTTTATATTGCAATTTATTTTTGATTTGTAGTTCAGAGTGTAAAATTTATTAATGTAAATATATTAAAAATAGATATTAAATACTAAAATTTCATGAGAAAAATATTTAGCATTTATAAGTAGATCAATTAAAACAAATAACCAGTTTTTAAGTGATAAATTCCATTAACAGTATACAGTAAAGCGGAATACATTAGAATAATAATCGTGTAAATATTATGACACTCTATTCTATTTATTATAATATTATGATATAAATATTATTAGTAAGGATAATAGTGCTAAAACTCATTGGGACTAGGTAAGTTTTATGAGTTTTGCATAATTGATGACACAAAATTAAAAGTCAAATATTTAATGAGTGCTTTTGCTTGTTTGACTCAAACTTTGTCATATTGCTTATAAAAGAACAACAGAATTTGCTGAAGTAGAACATATTTGAATTTAAAATTTAAGAATATTGGATTTATACGTAGATGTATTTTTAACGGTTAATAATATAAAGATCTGTGTTAAACATGCAAAAAGTATAAATATATATAAGCTATATTATAAATATTATTAAAAGTAAAATTCATTACTCTTTAAAATATATAGGTTAGGAAATCTTGATGTAATCGGGAAGAATATTTCAGTATATGAATAATCTGGAATAACTTTAGAAAGAAAAATATTAATCGTTACCCATATAATATTTATGGCAAAAAATATTAGCTGATAAAAAATATTTTTAATGAAATTTTATAAAAATTTATATTACACGGCGATTAGCATTTATAGAAATTGCCGATGAGAATGAAATTTAGGCATATTTCAAATTAGTATTAGATTTTGTATTCAGAAATTAATTATTATTGTTAAACAAGTAGAAAATTTTTATATTATTTTTAATTAAATTATCTCATTCTTATACAATTTTATTATTATTATTCAATATATGCTATTGCACATGAATGAAAAATGCTATAATAAAGTTGAGAAAACATAAAATTTTATGAGATTTTTCAACTTGTATTTAATGTGGATTCATTACATTTTAATGATAAATAAATTATTGTAATTATCAATGAGAAAAAAAGCCATTATCATAAGTAAACATTTATTTCATGCGTTCTAATTTGCGAAAAGAAGCTATAAATTGATATATTATATAAACTACTGCATAAATTTCAAACTATTTAGAAATCTGTGATAAGAAATTGTCAAGAGAATTTATTTTTTAAAGATATTTAAAGTAACTGATTAGAATGAAAATTGCTTTTTTTTTTCTTGTTTTTTTCCTTTGTTATTTTTGTTTTAGTGTGTTGACTTCTTGGTTTTAAAAAATTCTATTCCCTTCAGGACAAACCCATAAGGAAAATTTCAGTAATGTGATGCCTATTAAAAGAATTTCAGAAGTTTATGTATGCCTAATATGGCTTGCGAATGCTTTTACTTATCTGTATAGCTACAAGGGAGTTTATTTTCTTAATGGGCGTGAAACTTCTAGCTTGTCATATTATTATGCTTAGTTATAATATATTTTGATGACTACACCTTCCATAATACCTTTCTCATTCTACCTTTTGTTTGTGCGAAAATATTTCTAATCGTATTTGAATAAGTAATTACTCAGTTGTTTCTTAATTTAATTTTTAGATGTAATTGTTATTTAATCACAGTTAATAATTAGTAATTATTTTTGATTATTAGCTGAAACTTAAATCTAGATTGTTGACTAGAAATCTATACATTGCAAATTTATTCATTACATTAACTAAGAAGTAAATTCTAAAGAAATGCTTTACCAAAGATTATTTATTAGCAGCTTTTTGAATTTTATTTTTATGACAAATTTATAATAATCAAACAGAGAAATACGATGCACAAAGGATTTTCGTAACGATTGGTTATTAATCATCATCACATTGCGTAAGAATGTAACAATTGATGGTAAAAATTTCTGCTAATCATCTGTTTCAAAATACATTTTCGTGTAACAACTCTGTAGATGAAAAGTATAATAAGGCTAATATACGTTCTGATCAGGATGCAGCTATTCAAATAGAAAAATGTTGCAAACCTTGCCGATGAATAAATATACTGATTGTATAGGGAGGATGTTAACTATGAAACTGTTCACTTTATTTTTACTAGCATGAGAATTAAAAGTACTTGAACATTTTAGTTTATGTATAAATTTAAAATTCTGTGATTAAATTATTATTATTTTGACAATAAACACTTGTCACAACTTAAAAAAAATATATATATGTATGTATGTATGTATGTATGTATATAGAACAAATTAATATGAAATTACAAAACAACAATGTTTTGACCTTTAAATTAACATTATTTATTTATTATATTAAATATTTTAATAATTTCTCAATGAAATTAAGTAATTTTTCTTAACAAACTTGTAATTTCTGTATATCCTAATGAATTTTTGAAACCTCAATTATGAAGTTAATAATAAATTTGTTTATCAATGGCTACTTCTTGTAAATAATTTCAGATTTATTAAAATATAGTTAATACTATAGTAATAATATTCATATGTTATAATAAATATATTTTAATTGGAAATGGTGTTTCTCTTCCCTCAGTATAACAAGTCCTAGTTCACAAGAACATTCAAAGTGGACACAAGTATAGGTTTATATGAAAAATTTTATAAATATTAATAAAAAAACTGTTAATTGGATTAAATAACTTTCTAGAATTATCAAAAATAGATTAAATATTGTAATAATCTGTTCACAATTAAGGAAGAATATGTGCATGAATGCTAACTGCATGTAAAATTGTTTAAATTTTAAACTTTAGTTTAAGAAATACTGTTAATTTGATGATGATGATGATAAGAAGCATAATTCATCATCCTCAGTTAAATAATTTACATTGATATAAATGTTTTTCTTTCAAGATATAAATCATTATTAAATATGAAAGTTGTCATATGTCTTATTAATTAGCTTCCATGAATAGTTTCTTAATGTTTTAATACATTATAAGCATGAAGAACTGTTTCATAAATTTCTAAACATTTGCATTTTCTAGTTTAAAAATATTTTCATATCTTCATTAATTATTATATAATATAAAGAAATTGATGAAGATTCAAGGAGGTTGTTATTTTTTCATCCTTATTTATGGCCTTGAGAATCTATTTATAATAAATTTGCATATTCTGTTTGTGACTTGGCTACTTGCTCATTTTAAGATGTATCGCTGTTTCTCATTATATTGGATTCAGTTCCAGATAAACAGTATAATCTGTTTGGTCAGACCTAATGTAAAGCCATAAAATGTTGATGATTAAGTATTGTAATAAAGTTCAACAGAGGAAAAAAAAATAAAGTGCTTTAAGTAATTTTTTTCCTACGGTTATAAAACAATTCTTACATATTTTATCGATACACATTTGCACATTAGAAAAATATACGGAATATCAAAACATTTGTATCAAATATTTTCAAGATTTATTCCAAAAATGGGTACGTAATAATGATTTCTCTATTTCAATTTTGTTTTTAACTATTAAGAATAATAATTAAATTAATTAAATCATTTAAAGGGTGATGATGTATGTAACACTATGCATCTATCAGATAGTTTTAGAATGGTTTTGAATGCTGAATATTTTAAGAAATTCATAATTGTTTTAAAATATAATGTTATAATGTATGATAAATAAATTAACTACTTTAATTGTAATCCTTTAATTAGATTAGTCATGATGTAAAGTTTTTTGTCTTGAAACAAATCTAAATGTTAGCAATTAAATAATAAAAATGATTCTAATCAAACAGATATTTTAATTTGTTCGTAAGATAAAAAAGTATCTTGAATCATTTAATTAATCTCGATTGCAGTAATTTTGTTGTTAAAAATTGGCATTAAATTTTTTTTATTTATGTATGTTTAATCTGTAACAAATTTTCTTATATACATTTATGTTTTGGTTCTATATCTTTTATCAAATGTACCAGTGATGAAGTGTTA